CAATCAATCCGATCCGGCCGTTGTACATAAGTTTGATAAAGAATAAAACAATACTACATTTCAGCATTACACATAAACCTGAGTGTCGCAATTTCTTTATCTTCCCCTCCTCCAAACCTTGGCACCAACCGAGCTTTCCGGCAGGCGGAAGGCAAGGTCGGGCAAAGCTGGTAGAAAAACGGCTCCGTTAAAATATAAATGGAAAGCTCTTGAATTTTGGAAATCAGGAAAATAATATAACTTAAGATTTGCAATAGTTAATCCAGATTTAAACGTATTATTTCAATACAACTATTTAGATCGAAAAATTAAATTTTAAAACGCTAAAATACGCGCAAAGAGCTGAAACACATTTCAGAATATGTATTAACTCAATTTGAAGATGCTCCACAAAAAACTTGTTACCAATTTATGATTTGGATAATCGCAGATGGATGCTAGAAATCAATTGCAATTATCAGCGGAATTTTTTTTAAGCATCTGAAAAATGGATTCATAATTTTAACCAAAAGCACCAAATTGTTTCTAGAAAAATAAATAAATGTATAGCACAGATAACTTTACCAAACATAAGTAAACTAAAAATAGTAGCTACTAATTTTGTTGAAAAGATACAAGCAGAAATTTTACTAGTTGGAGTAGAAAATGTTTTTCACACTAATCAATCAGGTTTCAGTTTAGAAATGCACACAGAACATACTTTATCTTTCACAGAACAAGAAAAAATTGGAACATTAAATCAATCAACAAATTCTATGACGCATAGTTATACACTTCAGCCTATTATATCAGCCAGTGCTTCTCTCTTGTTACTGTTATTATATTTTTAAACAAAATGTTTTTGTTACACCTCTGTGGTCTAGTAATAAAAATAAACTTACCAAAGTATTGAGTCGGTGGAAAAGTTCTGCGGATTTTTTAATAGATGACACTAGTGTCAGAAAATAATTATCGCGTGTCGTTCAAATGTCAGTTTGTCGCACATATTTTGACAAGTCACACTACGCTTGACATTTGGCAGAAGTGTTTGTTTTGGTCGGACGTGTTTTGCGTGTACGGCATACAACTAAAAGATCAAAAATTACTTGTTCGCCATATTTTGCTGTTTTTATTCCTTAAAGGATGTAAAGCGGCGGACGCTAAGCGCGAAATATGCGCCATGTATGGTGCCTCGGCCTTAAGCGCAGACACATGCAAAAGATGATTTGCTCGCTTCCGATTTGGAGAATTTAATCTCCAAGATGCACCACGCTCTGGACGGCCAAATTCTGTTGACGACGACTAACTCCTGGCTACAGTGAAAAGTGATTGACACTTAACGACTCGAGAGATTGCAAAGCGCTTTGGAATTTATCCTACAACTGTTATGGATCGATTAAAAAAGCTTGACATGGTGAAAAAGCTTGATGTATGGGTGCCGCACAAACTGAGCAAAAAGAACATCATGGATCGGATTTTAGTGTGTGAATATCTCTTGAAACAAAACTCACTAAACCCATTTCTAAAATGGATCATTACTGGAGACGAGAAATAAGTTGTCTACAACAACATTAAGCGGCGGAAGTCGTGGTGCGGTCCGGGCGAGTCTTCACAAACGGTGGCAAAATCTACTTTGCATCTACAGAAAGTAATGCTACGTATTTGGGACTATAAAAGAGTGCTGTGGTTCGAGCTGCTCCCGCAGGATCAACAACAGATTCAAAGAAATACTGCGCTCAGCTCGAGAAATTGCGCAAGGTAGTGCAAAAGAAGCGGTCAAAATTGTCGAATAGAAAAGGTGTGATTTTCCATCATGACAATGGTCGACTACATACTTCTTTGATCACGAAAAAAAATTGCAGAGCTTTAGCTGGGAAATGATGCAGCACCCATCACATTCGCCGGACCTTGCACCGTCTGATTATCACTTGTTTCGCTCGCTGCAAAACAATGTTGACGGTCATCAATTCAACTCAATGGAGGCCATCCGAAATCACCTCGTTGATTTTTTCGCCCACAAGTCCCAAGGGTTTTACGAGAGCGGCATCAAGGCCCTACCGAAACGTTGGCAACAAAAGCTCTCTAAAGAGCAACTAATCATCGAATTGAGGAGTTGTGATATCGACTTAACAGGAACGATAGACGACCTGCGCCAGAGATTAAGAACATTCACAAGAAAAAATCCGACGTATCCAAAAAAACAAGGAGCCTCGAACAAAATTGAGTGCTCACCGGTCACTGTCCCGCCTGCGATCGCAGGGAAAGCCTTGAGCCAGCTGCGTATGTGGGGGGTGCAGGTCGACGGGGAAAATCCGTTTGGATTCCTAGAACATATTGAGAAATTGGCCAAAGCAGCCGAATGTCCAGAGGAAATCTTATTAAGATCTTTGCCAGTTTTGTTGCATGGAGAAGCGTTATTATGGCATAGGAATAATAAGATGTTTTTTAACACGTGGTAACAATTCCGGCAGAAATTTTTGAGACAATACTTGTCGCCGGTCTTTTGGGAAAAACTGGCAACAGATGTGCTCAACGCAAGCAGCGGCAAAATACCGTTCAAAACTTACGCCACAGAACTACTTCCAAAAATGCACCGAGCGAGAGAATTCTTGGCAGAACAGCAGCTGCAAAGATTATACGCCAACATGGCGCCGAATTTCAAATTTTACATTCGACGAGGGAGTTTCCAGACGATCGGCGAATTAACATCGTTGGTCGCCGAATATGAAAAATTGGAAGAACAATGAAAAGAATTCCAAAAACCACCGGTAGCTACTACGGCCGCTATTTACAATTGTGCAGAAAGCTGCTGGCGCTGTAAACAGTAAGGTTACAAGAGACTGCAATGTCAAAGGCCAGCAAAGAAATTGTGCTCACAGTGTAGGAAAGATGGGGTTCTTAACAAAAGATTGCCACCCGCTGCCGGAAAACTCTACGAGAACCAAAGAAACCGCCGCGACAGTCCGGTCCAGTCCGTAGAAATCAGTTTTAAACCGCGGCCATATATTTGGATAAACTTCCATGGAAACTCTATTGAAACATTATTAGACACCGGATCCGACTTTTCTTTATCAACAGCAAAGCTGCTGCTCTGGCGGAAAAACAAGGTTTTACCGAAAAAGCCATAGAAACAGGGATAACAGTGGCCGACGGAAACCGTTCCAGCGTCAAGGCAGCTTATCGGCTTAGTGATCAGTATCCCCACGTTTTTTTCCGGGCGATTTTTCTCCACCTTGTCGTAGTGCCCAGGCTTAGGAGCGGTGAAGCGAGGGGCTATACTGGCGGGGAATCCTTTGATTCTCTGGCAGGGTCACTCATGCCAGGAAGGCCCTCGTGGAGCTTCTGTACTAAAAGAGAAAATAGAGAAAGGAAAACCTCGAACAAAAACCGGGGATTCTCAGCCTTGCTTAGCACCTTCTGCCGGTGCAACTGGGATAGGGGAGAAAAGCATGATTTTAAATCCGGAAACGTCCGACTCCGTCAGCCACGGTGCGATCGGACTAGGAGAAAAAACCCTAATTACAAATCCGGGGCGTCCAGCTCCGAGAGTCGCTTTCGGGTCGGACACTGGACTAAGGGAAGGAAAACCCTGACTACAAACCCGGGGAGCAGGGCGGGCTCGTTACTCTTGGACGGGAACTGTCTTAGGAGAAGGAAAACTCCAAAATTAAACCACTTCCCAGATACAACCATGAGTAGTTCTGAGGACGAGTTTGACTTACTGGTCCAGAGTGATCGGACACTCAGGGCCCGGCGGGGGGGTGTTGCCGTCCCAGGCACCTCCTCGTCGTCATCGCAACATAGGCTACCCTCCGCTTGCACCGCAGGGGCGGGGGACGAACCTGCTACTGCGAAGAAGCGCCAGGATGTCCTTGCGATGGGCGCAAGGAGAATGTTTGAGGCGCAAGTTTCCCTTCCGAGGGGAAGCGCAGGTAGCGCGGCCTCGAGGGGAGACAAAGGGAAGGCTGCGACGAAGGAGAGTTCCAGCTCCCCGGAATACACTGGCGTTATCGGATACCCGCTACTATCTGGGGATTCCGATATTATGATGAAGAAGGTGGAGAAAGACGACGCCTTTGCTCCAACCCTCGGCACCGGTACTGGTGTGAGGAAGAGGGAGAGACCGCCGACTACCGGTGATTACGTAGAGCTCGCCGAGGCTAAAAAGCGTCTCCTTGCCGCAAAGCGAGCGGAAGCCGCGCAGGAGCTGGAGGAACACGGAAAAACTCAGATCTTCCAGCCCACCGAGTTTGGCCTCCTCCGCGGCCGAACTGTTTGAGAAAACTCAAACGGCCGTGGAGGCGGTGTTGAAGGTGGCCACCACGTTCTCGAACCTCCAAGAAAGGTATGTCAAGATCTTGAAGGACGCGGCGGGGGTTGAATGAAGGGGGTTGCAGAGGCCGTGGTCGACGTCCCCCTTTGTGCGCGGGCGATAAGGCCGGAGCAGCCTGAGGAGGAGAGGCTTGGACAGTCGGTGGCGGCGAGGCCAGAGCAGGCGGGGGCTGTCGCGCTCTTGGAGGAGCGCGTCAAGACCCTCAAGGAGAAGCTCCGGCTGAGCAAAGATAAGGCGAGAATCACGGCCTCCCGGTATAAGACGGTGCGTAAGATGCTTGACGCGGCCTACGACAAGGGCTTTTCTTTGTAGGCACGTCGAGGAAGGAAACGCACTGCGGGACGCAGGCTGGTGAACCTGCATTGGTCCCGCAGCCACCAGCCGTGGCGCTGTCCATGATCACCGATGGACCCGCCACGGCGCCGACGCTGGCTTCCCGAGGGGTCCAAACCGAAGAGGGGGCCTTAGAAGCCCTAGGGGCGGATGTCCCCGCAACGTACCTCTCGGAGGAACAATGCGTCCGCTTTTTGGCGGACCGGATCGGAGAAGAAACGGAGGGGCGAGTCGTCTCCCTGATCAGAAGAGAGCTCGCCTCCCCTGGCGCGCCTGCTGCCGGACCGATCCCGACCACCTGGGCAACGGTGGTGGGACGCAGGGCGCGGAAAACAACCCCCTCCCTCCTCCTGGCATGGGACGTCCATTTTCTTCCGCCCAAACGAGCGAGAGCCAGCGCTGTAGAAAGGAAAAAAGGGCCAAATTCGGCAGGCTCCCAAGTGGAGCTGCCGTCTTCCTGACCGTGGAGGAGGGCGGCAGTTACGCCGAGGCTCTAAGGAAGGCAGCGGCCGCCATGGATTTGAAGAAATTTGAGGTTTCCGGCTTTTGGATGAAAAAGGCGGCTAATAGAGGCATGCTCCTCCAGGTACCCGGGCCTGGAGAAACGGAGAAGGCGTCAAAGGCGTTGGAGAGGGTCGAGGGGGTCCGGTTTACTCGTCCTGTTAAGCACGCCGAAGTGCGTGTCAGGGACGTGGTGCCACCTCTCATCCCTAAAGATATCGGTGCTGCCCTGGCAGCGGCAGGTGGATGCCAGCCCGGCGAGATTCGCACCGGGCTGGTAAGGTCCTCTCCCACCGGGTATGGGACCCTCTGGACGCGTTTGCCCCTGAGGGCGGCCCGAAAGGTGGTGGAAGGAAAGCGGATAGAGGTGAGGTGGTTCAGCCTTCCTGTAGAAGCGCTGGAGGCGCAGCGTATGCAGTGCTACCGGTGCCTCGAGTACGGGCACGCGGCACGTACCTGCACCGGGGCCGACCGGAGCAGAGCGTGCTACAGATGCGGGGCGGAGGGCCACCTCGCCATTACGTGCCGTGCCGCTTTCAAATGCACTCTATGTGCCAGCAGGGAACAGCCCTCGAACTACCGGATGGGTGGCGCGAAGTGCGCCTCCATTCCAAAGAGGTCCGCAGCTACCGGGCGGAGCGCCGGAACCATGTCTCTCCCGCCAACATCTGGCGGCGACGAGGAAGAAGGGGTGGGGGCCTCAGCTCCCCCCTCTTCAGTCAGGAAAGCGAGGAGAAAGCGGAGGGCCCGTGTAATCGGGTCCGAAGGGGACTCATTCCTCTGGAGGGAGGACGGGAAGGGAGTGTACCTTCTCTCCCCGGTGGCAAGTGTGGCCCGGTTGTGGCCGGAAGAGTGCGACAAATGGGAGGGTCCATCCACCTCCTTGAGTCGAGCGAGGACCGCAGATCCCGCCGCGGAAAAAGAAGACGACGACGAGGGCCATTGCGGCCCCATTCCCTCTCGCAGAGATATCTCCCGGTTTCCGGAGGAAGCCGGAGGCCGAAAAGAAAGAAGAAAAAGAGGAGAGGAAAAAAGGGGACGGTATTGCGTCTTCTCCCTCTCCCCCCAAGAGGAGTGCGGTCGGGGTCAGGAGCTGCAAGATTGCCGGGCCCCGATCCGCAAAGGGTGTGGCGCAAAAGACGCCTGGTTCCGGGGGTAGTTCCACCAAGGAGCCTTCCTCTAAGCGACAGAAGAGGGCCGACCGTTCGACCTCCCCCTCAACCGGTGAAAGGAGGAAGCCGGTACTCAAATCTTCCAAGTTGGCCCAATAAGCCTAACTTGGTGGCAGTCTATGGTAGTGGGGTCATGACTCGGGCATGACCCCTGGACCCGGCCCCAATTCTGGAGTCGCTTGGTCGGGGGACAGGGATGCGAAAGTCTCGTACTGACCCCTCCTGACTTTGGTCACGAGGGGCGGGGACTAGGCGTGCCAAGTTGGGGAACTTGACACGCCATTGCACAGTCCCCAGGGAGAGGCGGCTTGAGGAGGGCTATGGCCCTCTCCCTCCTGCCGCGACCCCAAGGGCAACGGTGATAGGGGGCGTTGCCCTTTGGGGGATCGTCTAGGACTATAGGGAAGGGCCGGAGAAGTTATAGCCTCAACTGTGCCACAGGTCCCCCTGCCAAGTCAGATGGAGGCCATTGAGGGGTTTTAGTGGGTGAGAGTCCCACACTCCCCGCTCCAAATCCCAAGGGGGTGAGGGTGCATAACGCATTTCCCCTCATATATAAAAAAAGCGTATCGGCTTAATATAAAATTTGCAGGAAAGAAATATAGACAGTTCTTGGTAATGCCATCTCTACCGACTCCGATGCTCATCGAGGTAGACCTGTGACACAAGATGAAGATATTGATTTTGCCAAAGAAACCAGGAATATCATCAAACAAGACCGTGATACGTGCTCAATGTCTCAGGGTTTGTCACCGCTAGCGGCCTACAAAAAAGAACGCCTAGAAAAATTCCTCCACAAGGAATTCCAGAAATTGTCGGACGTCAAGGGGCCAAGCAATGTCCTGCAGCATCACATTTGGTTAAAAAAAAACACCAATTAAACAAAGATACCGACCACGAAATTCGGCAATGCAAGCCGTAATTGATGCTGAGGTGGACAAAATGTTGCAAGAAGGCGTAATAGAACCGTCACAAAATGCATAGAGCTCACCAGTGGTGATAGTTAAAAAGAAGAATGGAGAATACCGATTCTGCATTGACGTCAGAAAAGTCAATGATGTTACGGAGAAAGACGCCTACCCATTACCACATATCCCGGCAACGTTAGATAAACTGCGAAGCGCTCGATATTTATCCACCATCGACTTAAAGAATGGATACTGCCAAGTACCGTTATCGCCAAAAAGTCGAGCAATTACGGCTTTCACAGTGCCAAACCGAGGGCTCATGCAATTCCGCGTGATGCCTTTTGGCCTACACTCGGCGTCCGACACGTTCCAGCGACTTCTGGACACAATATTGGGACCGGACCTAGAACCACACGTACTGGTCTATCTCGATGACATCATGACCAGCAAGACTTTCGATAAACATATTGCCCTGCTGAATGAAGTTTTCCGGCGTCTTAGAGAGGCGAAACTCAGATCTAATCCGGAGAAATCCCGGTTTGGTCGAGACTAGCTAAAATATTTGGGGCATGTGGTCGATCGGAAAGGCATACACACGGATCCAGAAAATATCAAAGCGATTACTAGATGGCCGATACCGACAACTCTCAGGAAAGTGAGACAATTCTTGGGAGTCACATCGTGGTACCGTAGATTCATTAAAGATTTCGCGACAATTGCAGCCCCGCTGACACAACTGACGAAGAAAAACGTGAAATAGCAGTGGGAAAAAGAACAAGAAAGGGCTTTCCGAAAGTTAAAAAACATATTGACGTCAGCACCAGTGTTAGCATGCCCGGACTTCTCAAGGCTATTTATTCTGCAAACAGATGCCAGCACACACGGCCTCGGTGCTGTGCTCACACAAAATTCAGAAGACGACGAGCGGGTAATAGCCTACGCAAGCAGAACTTTGAATGGAGCCGAGAAAAATTACAGCGCCACGGAACTGGAGTGCCTCGCCGTCGTCTGGGGCATACGACGTATGCGAATGTACAAACGGCGTCAAAAATTCGCGGAGTATTGCGCGTGGATCGGAGGGCAAGCGGGGCGGTTGCTTGTAGCGCCAGCGAGCGCTGTACAAACTAAATAGTAGCAATTGGTTGTTTGCACCTACATCGTGTCGATAATGTAACTATTCTTCTTTTCAATTTTTTTCTCAAAACATATTGGCCATTTACTAAATATCTAACGTTAACAAATAACATGTATGTGTATATATGTGTGTAATAAATAAAATTATAATGTCTCCGGTATATAGAAAAAACGTACATTGTAAAAGTCTCGTTTCAAAAATTATATACTATTATATATAGCCACTAAATAAACAATTATATTAGATTATTATTATAGTATATTATATTATATTTATATATTTTGTGTATACACCCAGCATAGACATTCATTCATCCAGACATCCATTAGACATCTATTAGATGTCACATGGAGCTGTCGACGTCTAATAGAGTTTTTGTTCTGTGTGGGACAATTATATATATGTAGAAATAGAAACACATTAAAAAATGAATAGGGCAAACAGTGCATAAGTAAGAAAAAAAAGATTATAACAAATAGATATATGCCAAAAGTTGAATAAGCTTATGTCAAAATTAATAGAGTTTATTCATATAAAAATAATATCGCGGTGAAACAATTTGATAATATATACAAATAATTATATACATATGATACATTAATTTTGACAGAACCTTATTCAACTTTCGGCATATATCTATTTGTTATAATCTTTTTCTTCTTACTTATGCACTGTTTGCCCTATTCATTTTTTAATGTGTGTTTCTATGTTTACATATATATAATTGTGTATACACAAAATATATAGATATAATATAATATAATAATAATCTACTATAATTGTGTGTTTATTTAGTGGCTATATATAATAATATATAATTTTTTAAACAAGATTTTTAAAATGTACGTTTTTTCTATATACCGGAGACATTATAATTTTATTATCTTCAGTTTGTCAGTTCTTACTTGTACGTTGCGGCCTCATTAGAACATTTATAGTCTGTCGACACCAGCGTTAATTACCAGCACTCTTTATTGTATTGAAAATGACCTAAACCACAGGTCGGAAACCTTCTACTTTTATTTTTATAATAAACAAAGTTAAAATTTGTATCTCTACATCTGTGTCTGCTTCTAAGAGCCATTGTTCTGTTAAATATTTTTTAAATTGTTGAAGCTTTACACACATCAAAATTACAATTTTATTTTTACACACATATATACACATACATGTTATTTGTTAACGTTAGATATTTAGTAAATGGCCAATATGTTTTGAGAAAAAAATTGAAAAGAAGAATAGTTACATTATCGACACGACGTAGTTGCAAACAACCAATTGCTACTATTTAGTTTGTACGGCGCTCGCTGGCGCTACGAGCAACCGCCCAGCTTGCCCTCCGATCCCCGTGCCGACTCCGCGAATTTTTGACGCCGTCTGTACCTCGAAGAATACAATTTTGTGGTGATAACAGACCATCAGTCGCTGAACTGGCTGCAACGTCTGGAAGAGCCGACCGGATGACTGGCAAGATGGCTGTTTGAACTGCAGCAGTACACCTTCGAGGTCAAATATAGAAAGGGCACGTTAAACAAGGTGGCTTACGCACTGTCGCGAAAAGTACGAAGTATGCAACATACAAGCCAAAAAGCCATGCAAATGGTATAAGCCGATGATATGAAAAGTAGAAGAAGTACCAGAAGACTTCCCCGACTATCAGATACACGAAAACCAGTTATATCGACACGTCCTGCACAGCCTTGACTTCCGCGAGACTGAATTCGACGAACAATAGAAGCGTTGCGTTCCGCAGGGGGAAAGGACAAAATAATGTTTCGCAAGACACTTAAGTGTTGCAAAAACGATTGCACGGATTGCTCAAGTATATTACTGGCCATGTTTCAAGACATTATGAGATATGTCCGAACATGTGAGATCTGTTTACAACATAAAATTCCGCCGACGAAATCTGCAGGAAAACTCTACACAGAACCTGTCGACGCACCATGGCAGCAGATAACAATCGATCTGATCGGCCCTCTGCCAAAGTCGATCCAGGGATACATCTGTCTGTTTGTGATGCAAGACAGATTCACTAAGTGGATGGAGTTAAAGGCGCTCCGTAAGGCCACGGGATCCGCCGTAACCACGGCGTTGTACGAACAAGTCGTGCTACAGCATGGCTGTTCGGAGGAAATCATATCCAGTGATAAAAGTTCTGGCAGGCTAGCATCAAGAGCACTGAGGTTGTGGGAGCACGCACACAAGCGAGGACCGCCGTCCGTGTGCGTGACGTCACGTTCGGCTGTTCGGCTCGTGAAAGAGCGCAGACATACTATGTTCTGTCACGCTTTCACCAAGCCCGCTACGCAAGCAAGACATTGAGACTAGAAAGCTCAAAAAGAAAGAAATGTTTCGTTGCGCGCTTGTAGCGTATAACAATATGACAACGCAAACTGCTTTTCCATGACTTACAATCTTGAAAAGGTAGATACTATTATTGATAAAAATGAGTTAAACATCTCAAGATGCATTTATTATTACATTTTTATTAATTCTTATTAAAAGTCAACTGCAATAATTTTAAAGTTTTTAGATTATTGAAAAGCACTTAATACATGTATATAAACTATATTATTAGTATTACTAATTTTTCTATATTTTTAATTTGTAAATCACGAAACGAATCTACATTTTACAAATGCACAATCTTAAAGTATTTAATAAAGTATTTTCATATAACATATCATATGAATATAATATATTAATTGAATTTTGTATAATATAAAGTAAATATTTTGAGATTATATGTCTGAGAAATGTAGATTCTTGTCATAATTTACAAAACAAAAATATATAAAAAAAGAACACTAATAACTTTCAATATTCAAAAAACCTTCGAATTCTTTCATTTAACTCATATGTAATAATTTCAAAAAAAATATAATGCATCTTGAAATGTTTTACTAGTATCAATATTATTACGTTCTTTTTCCAAGACTGTAAATTTTGGAAAAAATATAAATATATAAATATTGTACGTCTCTGAAAGAAAAATTGTGTGTAAAGCTTTGTGAAACATAAGTTAAATAAAAACATTGGTTTAATGTTATATGATATTTAATATAGGTTTTCAATCTTTTTTTTTACACAAATTGTCCAATATATATTCTTATATTAGATCAATATATCGATCAAGCAGCAAACATAAAAGTTTAGATGTGTTTAGACACGTGGACGCGCACCGTTCAATGTTTCTCGCCCGTCTTACACATCGAGATTTCCATGTTGGTGACATCGCAATTTGTGGAATCAATAGACAACGATGTAATTTTTCGAAATACATGAAATGTCATGCATTTCTTCAAAGAAAATGAACCGAAAATATTACATAAACTTTGCTACAGAGATCTTTCATCTTACAATATTAAATAATTTTGCAACAATTATATAATATATAAGTTTTATGTTTTGCAATAATAATAGGTAATATTATGAAGAAGTGATCTTCCGCACACCCAGGGGGTGCCACTAATAGCGCGTTAGGTTTTTTTAACGTGGACTTTCGCCTGTAGCTCTATTCAACCACGGTTCTCGCCTGTGTGTGTGCCCCCACCATCTCGATGCTCTTGGTGCTAACCGGGCGTGTTCCGTTTGACCACAGTATGATTCGACACCGA